GAGAGAGAGAGAGAGTTCTTCTTCTTCCTCTTCTAAGTCCACCATCTCTTCTCACCCTCTCGCCACCTGACTTCTCAGACTACGACAGAGAGAGACAGAGTTGTGACTTGAGACTTGACGACATTGGATCCGGACTTGACATTTGGGATTCAGACATTTCGACGTGGGACTATTTGGGCCTATGCCGAAGACTTGGTGTTGACGACATTCCCATCTTTCCCCTCCTCTTCGTCTAACCCCTTCTTCTTCGTCTGTGTATGGTAGGGGCTGGTGCAGTCTTCCTGTGTGAAGCGCCAGACCCCATTCACACCATGTAATGATGATGATGATGTATGTTCAGGGCTGCATTGCAATATTGATTGTTCGGATCACTGGTATCTAAGTCTTCCGCTGTGTTATCTTGTACTTTGTATTGAGAGGTCGGTTCTTGTTCTGGTCTGCACGCTACAGTATGCAACAGTGTGTGACCCACAAGGGTACTTGCTTGTTTGGAAGGCCTGTAGGGCTGGTACTTACCTGTGGCCGTGACATTGAGGGTTGCAGTAGGGAAAACACTCAAGTGGCGGAGCAAGAGGCCCGCGGCACTTAGAGCAGGGGAAAAACACTCAAGTAGCAGGTAGGCCGGTACCGGGAAAAACACTCAAGTAGCAGGTAGGCCGGTACCGCACCAAGTAGAAGTAGATGTGCCGGGTACTCGATGCCGAGCAGAAGAAGACAAGTTGGCATTTTTAGAGGCCCAGTCGCGGTAGGCTAGGTCTAGGCGGGTACCAGTCCGTCCAGTCTGAGTCTAGGGCCTGTACGGGCAATATCAGAGTCTGCAATGATGTTTTTCTCTGAAAGGGAGGAGGTACCGGTTGCTTGGGAGGCCGAGTGGCCTGGACGTCACTGCCCAGGAGGCAAGTAGGACGCAATATCTCGAGGCTGAGCGAAGAGCCCAGCCTCATTCTTCGGCGTGCAAGTTTGGCGACACACTGGCTGGAGGAGCCCTGGGTACTACAACGCTGCTGAGAGGAAGAAGACCGGGAGCTCCCACCTCGGCTATGGTGGAGGAGGGAGAAGAGGACCGAGGAGGAGAGTGGCGAGGTACCTACCTGGCTATGGTGGACACCATCTTCATCACGTTGATAGGCGCTGCATCTGGAAGGCCCCAGTTGGGGTAGAGCTGCACCAAGGAAGCTCGGGGCAGAGTCAGGCATGGCGGCTTAATGAGCAGCGGCATAGCTGCTTTGTGTTTTCCTTTGCACAGGAGGGCAGCGACATAGCTGCTTTGGGTTGTCCTTCAGACAGGAGGGTAAATCCCTCAGTAGTCCGCCATAGCCTCGGCCTACATGAAGAGGAAGAGGAAGTATGAGCATGGCTATGGTGGACCTCAAGTTGTGCCTGCAGTAAAAGAGGGATTCGGGCATTGATTCTGGTTCAGTCATTCAACGTTATTATTGTTATTTCTTGTTTGAATAAGAGGGGAGGAGATAAGGAGGAGGAGAGTGGTTGGCAAAGAAGAAGAGCATTATCATTGGTCTATGCTGGAGTACATCATCTTCTTCTTCTTTGTTTCTTCTTCTTCTTTTTCTTTCCCTCTCTCTCCTCTCAAGCTCATTCATTTCTTTTTGCAATTGGACGGCATTGTTCTTTCTGATGAATGTGCACTTCGAAATTGACCAGGATCGTAACATGTTTTGGTAACACTGCTGGCAATTATGCTCGGGGAAAGAAGGCAGCAGTGATCTGGCACTCCAACCTGTGAAAGAGGGGCTAGGCAGACCGGCTTGTGCGTATACAACCGATGAACTCACAGAGCTGGGTTGCCTTGAACTGCACTGGCATTTGCAGAGTTTTGTGTACAAGTTGGCGCAAAGGTGGATCCATGGGGCATTTTAATAACCTGAGGCTGAGGGCATTACTGACAATTGTCAGAAGAGGCCATATCTGTGCCGTGGACATTTACTTTCCTTGTCATCGCTCTTGGGAAGACAGCTCTTTGACGCTTCCTCTCTCTTCTCTTGTCCCCCTCCGCAAAAGAAATATGAATTAAGCCAATGCAAAGATACAAAAAACATAAATAATTGCCAAGTTCTGCATACAATCTGGCTCACAGCGGGATCTATGGGTCGTTTGAAGAACCTGACGGTCACTACAAACAATTCCCAGGCCCTGCACTGTCCTTTGCCCTGTTAGAAGAGGCCATGCTAAGTCTGTCCCTTGGACATCTTTCCTTGGAAAAGATAGCTCCCTGACGCCAACTCTTTTGTCGCTTGTCCCCTGCCTCTCTGCCTCTTCCACCCTTTTATCCTCCTCTATGTCTCTTCCACCTCTCTCTCTCTCTCTCTCTCTCTCTCTCTCTCTCTCTCTCTCTCTCTCTCNCTCTCTCTCTCTCTCTCTCTCTCTCTCTCTCTCTCTCTCTCTCTCTCTCTCTCTCTCTCTCTCTCTCTCTCTCTCTCTCTCTCTCTTTCTCCTCGATCACATCCGTTCGTGGCCTGTTGGAAAAAAATGTGCAGGCTGCAGACTGCCGTAGGATTGCTGAAACAATTGCTCATGTCCTGTCCTTAGAAGACGATGAAGATCAGCAGGTCTCCAGGAGTGACCTTGTGCCCGCGGGTTTTTACCAGGAGGAGGAGAGATGGAGGGGAAAGATAAGGCGGCGGCGGCTGGAAGAGGTTTATGCAAAGGTGGACACTTCTGCAGCTGAGTTTGAGGCCGCACTGAAATCAGACTTTGAACCTGTAGTCGACTGTGCAAGGGCCATGGCAATTGCGGGTAAAACCCCTTGCAAGACTAAAGCAGAAATTCTCTACAACCGAGAGAATCGATCAGTATGGCTGAGAGCAAAGTTTGTCAAGTCTCTCGCAAATGTTGGAGCTGATTCTCCTGTCACCCAATGCATCACAAATCTTCAAGATGCATATGATCGAAATGGAAAGAAGATGGTGGACTTCTACACAACAGTCAATGTGGAAAAAGCCCTAGAAAGGTGAGAGGCAAACAGCCAAGTCCTAGGCAAGACTTCCGTTAACTCGTCTTCCTTCTCGGAGAATGATAATTTGCTCACCAACTGCCACATGTGCGGGATGTGTATGGCAAAACCTGAACCAGAGAAATCCACAGATCAATCCTCACCCTTTCATACACTGATGTGCTATGCTATTGCAGCGTCAGGCAACGACGGGTCCACAGTGCAATTTGCACATGGTCACAGCAGCACCTGAAGGCTATAGACCCATGATAATAAAGGCATAATAGCTATATGCAAGAACAAGTAAAGTCTGTGAAAGCACCGCCTTAACAGACCCCTGGTTTTTGAACTTTTTGTCCATTTCTCTGCTTCCTTCAATAAGTTGCTGGCTGCTCTGTTACTGTTTCTTTGTTGCGTGGGGGCTTTTTCTGGCTGTTGAGGGTTTGCTGAACCAACAATCTGTGGAGCTGCATCGGGTGTGGATGGGCGATAGTCTGATTTGATCTTTTGGGTCAAGGCATATTATGACCTGAAGCATTGGTAGGGCCCTCTACGGTTGAGGGTTCAGCCTCCCGACGAGTCTAATGAAGCAGTCTTACACAGCCACTTTTCTATAATGCTGATGTTTTCTTAGGTTGGCAAATTGTCCTTAAGATCTCCAATGTTCAAGGTCGATTGTCCTTCATGCCTTAAGCGAGTCCTGGGATGGGGCTACATCACTACGGGCGCTTCAACATGGGTGCATCATCGTCTTTCACCTCCATTATCCTAATGCATGCAATGTTGGGCACACACTGTGACATAAAACATCAAGGGCTGTCGTTGGGAGACCAGCTGGGGGAGTGATTGGGATGATCTTGATCCACACTTCTCTCCATTCAATCCAGGTATGCCATTCCTTCTCTGAGAACTCTCAGCATTGTCAATCCTATGAATGATTTTGCATGTTCAGTGAAAGGCTGAAAGCTCTTGAAATAGATGGGCCTTGGAAGTTCATCGCTTTGGCAGAGGGAGACGGGATCCCATACGTCTAGGGCCGCACTCCATCCAGGCTACGAAACTTGCAAAAGGGGTCCTACCTTAGGTCAGCCATCCTGTAAAAGTCTGTGATAAGGTCCGTATTGGGGATTTGCACTTTGTGTCGACCTCCCTGTATCATCTAATTTTGTGGGGAAATAACTGGGGTTTGCACTTTGCTGAATTCACGCTCATCCACTTGCAGTTCTTCTGTGAAGAGAAACGCAGGAAGCAAGAGGAAAATTGGATCAATGTCCGAGGTGTGCTACCCCAAGAATAGAGCCTTAATGGAAGATGGAGAGCTAGCGCCGTCAGGTAGCGCTGGAAACTCTGCGCTAATTTTCTGAGTCTACGCCGCCGTGAGTCGCACATTCGCTCGTGTGCGGACCTCCAATTTCCGAGCCTTCCAAATGCACTCGAATACTCTACCGCTCGTGGGAACTCGCACACACCTTCCGATTTTGAACTCGCGGTTGTGACGGGAGAGGGAGCAAGGGGCGAGAGCGGGGACAGCCACGTCACGCCGCACCCTTGGGCGTGGCCATCCCCAAGCTCGGTAAGCGGCAGAAAGAGAGAAAGTAGGAGGAGGAGAGGAAGGGACGAGTACTATGAGGAGGAAAAGGGGGAGAAAGGGAGTAGTGCGCCACAACTAAAGAAAGGAAAAAACAAGCAACATGAAGGAGAGGAAGGGGTGGAAAGTCGAGCGATCAAGTTTCCAAACAAGGGGTAGGGTATGTGGAGGAAAAGACAAGCGAGGTACTCATCGGCCTTCAAGGAGTGAGCGGCGCAACGTCCAGACATGCCATCATTCGCCTTGCAAGGTTAGAACATCCCCCATCAGTGCCAAAGGTAAGATCTTGCCAACCGATTGCATCCAACCACCCAGAGTGAAAGGGATAGGGCCAGCATAAGGACAAGCAGGTACAAGAAGTCGAACGACTATCTATGGGAGCAAGCAACAACAACGGCGTCTTAGTAATCATCACGAGCTTTCGCCCTCTTTTGAGAAATGAATAGTGACTGTCTATGTCATAAATTGTTTACATTACACTGCTTACATTACAGACGAAGACTCACGTCGCACAAGAGGGACAAACAGTAGCCACCTTGAGATAGAATAGTAAGCAATCATCAGTCGTATCAGCATTCGTTTCGTCACTCACCCGTGTGCGATGGATACACGGATGACCCTTTCGAGAATTTTATCCCGAAAGTGGCATCCGTACCGAAGTCAGACACGTGAATTGAAGCCTCACTCAAATAGCCAGTAGTCCGCATCTTCCCTAAAAAACACTACTCACTCGCCAGTCCCCACATAACCGCATGCCTTCTCCGACCTTACCCCCCCATCCGCTGTCGACCGGGTGAAGGGATCTGCCAGCATTTGAAATTAGCCCCGAGTTCCGTCCCGTGTCTGTCACCCACGGGAGAGCTATTTCCCGGCTCCTGCAACCTGCAAACAACCGAGTAAGTAAACTCGAGACTAACACCAAGATAGACAAACAAGCACACCGACTCATTCGTGCAGAAGAGAATGAATGTGTAGTCTATAATGATGATTTCCGGCACGTCCAGAGCGGTCCCACATGTCCTAATTTCCGGCTGATCTCGCCGTTCGGTCTGAGTTCCGACACTCCTGCGTGAAGATCTGACCCGGACTCTACATCCTATGGGGTGCTGCCTGTAGCGGGCCCGCCTGTCCCACGGTACAGTGCTCGAATTCTCAGAGTCTGATGCATCGTCCCTGCCCCGCTGGGGCCCAAGTTCAAGCTCTACCTTTACGATCCCCGACCGGGGAATGGGTAGACAAATAAGATTTACTCGATAGAGAAGGACAATTTTGAGCTGACCGACGTGTAATTTTTCAATTGGCCTTAAGCGGTGCGTCCATTTGACCTCACAAACTTAACTATCTATGCTCGGTCCTGTCATAGCTTTCGTACACAGCTTGTCACCGGCAGGAAGAATACCATGGTTGTGATGTCCGGTGTCGGCCTTTCCAGGTCCAAATCTTGTGTTCCCGGGCCCAGCCGATCTCGGTCCCGACCCACTGGTCCATGTAGCCCAAACTCATTGGTTTTCGGTTCCGCTGCTCCTACACAAAGGATCATTCAACGCCTCCGGTACAGGCTTTGACCGCGCTGGTGCTGGCAACGGCTACTAAGGTCCGGTCTTGCAGGCTGTGTTTCTGGGTCCAGTCCGCCACCACCCAAGCGGTTTGGCACAAGAATCAGGATCCGTCCGCCAAGCAAGCCTTCGGGCAGTTGATGAATGCTCACTCGGTTAGAGTCCTGAAGCCCTGGTCGATACGCGATTCCCTTGTTTTACCCGCGTAGCTTTTAATTCGAACTTTCATAGGTCTCACGAGGCCTCCTTTCACATGGTATCGTTTCGGTCTTGTCGCAGTCGTCTTTCCTCCCGATCTCCTCTAGTTTGTAGGCTCATAGCCATTCGGATCCCAAATCCACACGGGACGATCAACCTCGATCCAATCAGTTTGATAGATCGCGCAAGTCTCTCTTAAGGAAAGCTTGCCTTGCTCGAGTGCAGCTCTGTCAGCGCACGCGATTCGTACCTCCAGCCGAATAGTCACTCGCTGTCAGCTCTGATCTACCACCAGCTTGTTTTTCCCGCGGACAGCTTCGAGTTTCTCCTGCACAACTTAGAACGCTCGCGGCGGCTCAAATCGCTTGCGCACAGCTCGGACTGTCGGCGCGCACCCTATTCAGTCGACGACTCCGCTCACACTTTTTCTGGTGCACCTCTTCGCTTGCGTGCAGCTCAGACTGTCCTCACTTGCACCCTTCGCATTCACTTCCACTTTACACTGGTTCTATGCAAGCTCGTGCTTGTTACCTATTACTCGTGCGCAACCTTCAACTTCTACTCTCCTGCGCGCAACTTTTTCCGCAGTCGCGGAGTGTCTAACAACCCATGTGCGGCTTCAGACTGCTCGTATGCAGCTTCCGTCCGCGCACGCGTACATCTGTAGACTTGGGCCGGACTTCCTATGCCTGCACCCATCTCCTATTTTTCGCGGGTAGCTTTTGCCACTCGCGCGCGTGCAGCCTCAGATTGCTAGCACGTGATCCTCCTCGTTTTTTCGCACCCCTCCTTTCAGCATTCACACGCTCCCGGTGGCACTCGTCCTTTCAGTCTTCACGCACCCTCCTCTCTTCGCTATGGTCATAAAGGTCTCTCCTTGCTCGTGAGCAGTCTGTCCAGCGAATGCGCTACCTCTACTTGCGATCCCTCGCCCCTAAATATTGTCGTGTGGGTCTCTTTGATCAAAGTGCTCTTCCTAGCCCTCTCGTGCTTGCTCAAGCCCAACATATCCCAAATCACAGACAACTTTGCACTCGTGTGAATTTGTGCTCTCAGATTAGGCCAGAGTGCTTGACCTGATCTTCCCGCCCGTTTGAATGCATGCGCCCAATTGGACTTGTGCGCCTTGTTTACTGCGCTGGAATCGAGCCCAGATCAGCCCCCGATCTAGCTGTGTGCGCGATGCATCCGTGTGCTTGATGTGGCTCGATATGCCGTGCTACTCTGTTGGTTGATCCTTGGGAGTCCGATTGGTGTTCGTCCATATCCGTACATCGTATGATGACTGGACGAGCTGAGATTCTCACCGAGTTCTTTCTAGAGCACTTTGCCTGAGATACTTGCCCTCCTCGCTCAATTGCACAATGCCAACGTCCAGCTCACAGTGACCGACTAACCAAGACTAGTTACCAATGATTAGCTTCCCATTGGCACGCCTGTTCGTGTGCCGATTTGACCTTTCCTGTGCATGAAAGGCCAGATCTTGGGGAAGAGTGCACTCTTGGAGAGAGAGACCTCACACCCTCCCGTGTGTCAGCGTTCGAGTAATTTCGGATGTCTTGTTCATGCGAGTGATTGCCTGTTTCGTGTGTGAAAAAATCGTGTCTCTTCGGGAATTGAATCCCTGTTCACGATCCAAGCTCGAAGCTCTGCCCTTGGACAGAGTGCATGGGCGG